GTGTCTAGTTCCATAGATAATGGAACCCCTTGTAGCTTCACGTTGAGTGACAGCTTTTTCTTCATGGGCTTGTGTGTGCCTGTTCTACAGATGCTTCTTCGCGAAGCGCAAAAACCTACCCTATTCTGGCTGGGGAATCTGGTACCCTTCAGGCGTTCTTCTTGGGGTTGTGCCTTTCGTCGGCCCAGGCACACAGCTGCAATGTGCCCTTGTTTACCGCATGCCCGGCAGGTAGCGGAGCGGAACTTGCAGTCGGTTCTCCTGTGGCGACCTCCACAGCCGATGCACTTGAGCGGAGCCGAAGAGCTTCCCTTCTGGTTCTCTTCCTTCGCGGGGTGTAGACGGTCGACTTCCTCGTCCGGATCCTCCTCGGAGTTTCGTCGGACGTCTTCCTGGTGCACGGACGCACCCTCTGCACTGTTTCTGATCGGCCGCATGTTTTTGACGGCGCCGCCTGCTGCTTCTTCTGCGGTGACTTCCCTTAAGGCGTCTTGGAAGGATAATTCTTCCTTTGCGAAAAGTCTCTGTTGTAGCTCGCGATGCCTTAACCCGCACACGAATCGGTCCCTCAGTCGTTCCTCGAGGTCCTTGAACTCGCAGGGCTTGGCGGCCTTCCGTAACGCGGTGATGTATTCCTTGGCTGACTCACCGGACCGTTGATCCCTTTGTTCGAAGGTGTGGCGCCATGAGATAACGGACACCTTGGGGTGGAAGTGCTCCTTCAGCAGCTTCTTCAGGTCTGCGTAGCTTACAGACTCTACTGGGACAGGTGCTGCAAGGTTTTCTGCGATTTCGAAGGCGTCTTGGCCGCAAACGCAAAGCAGGGTGGCCGCCTTCAAGCTATCTTCCCTCACTTGGTTTGCCTTGAAGTAGTTCTCCATTCTGGATACGTAGGACTCCCACCGCTCTGGATGTGAGACGTCGAATTCCGAAAGCCTTCCGATTTTCGCCATCTTCGGATCTTCAGGAGACGGGTCTATCAGCCAGCCTACCCCCGAATGCGCACCGGATTGGCGGGCAGCTGCCGAGTCGACGCCGTTCCTCTTTCGCCGCTCAGGACTCCTTGGGTAAGCTTACACTTCTTCCTTTCCAGGTAGTGCAAGGCATCCCATCCTCGTCGCCAGTGTTGAGTCCGTGGCGGGAAAACAGACACGAGAAGCAGCTGGAGTTCTCAGTTTCATTTATTCAGCGTTCAGCTTACAGGAAGATGGCTTCAGCCTCGCCCAAACGCCTCGCAGCCTCTTATATAGGCAACTCCCGGGTAAATGGGTTACTTTTCCCGCGCCAGCACCCGCGCATGCGCACGGTGCTGGCGACAGCCTGTCTGGTCCCGGGCAGCTTTGCACCTGCCCGGGACTGCCTGCAAACGCCCGAGCCGTTTGCAAGGCTCGGGACATAACACACACCATCGCCCCAGTCCTGGGCCTTCAGCTGGGTTTTATAAAACCTTTTTGCTTTAGGCCTCCGCCGCCGTATGCAAAAAAAAAAAAAAAAAAAGGTTCAATCAGTCAATTTCTCGTGGGAAAAAAAAGATCTTGCAAAGTTGGAATTGATTGATTGAACTTTTTAGTCCCACCCAGTCTGCTGTTACCACTGCAGCCATGCCCACCCAATTGGTCACGCCCACCCAATAGGCAACACCCACCCAATGGGCCATACCCACCTGGCACTCGACAATGCATAAGTGGGTTTTGGGTTGCAGTTTGGGCACTCAGTCTCTAAAAGGTTCGCCATCACTGGTCTAGGTGGAACCTTGCTCAATAGTAATAACTGTGAGAGGGATCTTGGAGTCCTAGTGGAGAATCACTTAAATATGAGCCAACACACTGCTAGGCTGCATTAACAGAGGGATAGAATCAAGATAACTTGAAGTGTTAATATCACTTTACAATGCCTTGGTAAGGCCACACTTGGAGTAATGCATCCAGTTTTGGTCACCACGATATAAAAAAGATGTTGAGACTCTAGAAAGAGTACAGAGAAGAGCAACAAAGATGATTAGGGGACTGGAGGCTAAAACATATAAGGAACGGTTGCTGGAACTGGGTATGTCTAGTCTAATGAAGAGAAGGACAAGGGATGACATGATAGCAGTATTCCAATATCTCAGGGGCTGCCACAAAGAAGAGGGAGTCAAGCTATTTTCCAAAGTGTTTGAAGGCAGGACAAGAAGCAACGAATGGAAACTAACCAAAGAAAGAAGCAACCTAGAATTAAGGAGAAATTTCCTGACAGTTAGAACAATTAATCAGTAGAACAACCTGCTTCTAGAAGCTGTGAATGCTCCAACAATGGAAGTTTTTAAGAAGAGACTGGACAGCCATTTGTCTGAAAAGGTATAGGGTTTCCTGCCTGAGCAGGGGGTTGGACTAGATGACCTCCAAGGTCCCTTCCAACTGTATTATTACTATTATTATTATTATTATTGTTGTTGTTGTTGTTGTTGTTGTTATTATTATTATTATTATTATTATTATTATTATTATTATTATGGATCATCGCACAGTCAGCCAGATATTCAGACTGGATTTGGCATTTTGTCTACCTATCGAGTCCTTACCCAGGACCTGGGATAGGCAAATGTGGATGTTTGATGGTATTACAGATATCGTCGCAGGATGGAAGCAGTTCCTAGTAAGGCCGCCTTTTGCAATTGACTAATAGCGAATTTGTCAATGCCAATGGTGTTCAAGTGGTGCTCCAGTTGTTTTGCGATTGCACCCAAGGAGCCTATTACTATTGGTACTGCCCTTGCTTGCTTTTGCCACAGTCTTTCTATTTCTATTTGTAGGTCTTCGTATTTTGTTATTTTCTCCAGTTCTTTCTCATCTATTCTGCTGTCTCCAGGCACTGCCATGTCCACTATCCAGACTTTTTTGGCTTTCTTATTGACAATTGTTAAGTCTGGGATGTTACAGTATGTTGCAAGTGCTTGTCCTTTTGAATTCTGAAGTCCCAGAGCAGTTTAACTTTATCATTTTCTATGACTTTCTCTATTTTATGATCCCACCAGTTCTTACTTACAGGCAAATGATATTTTTTGCAGATCTTCCAATGCACCATTGTTGCTACTTTGTCATGCCGCTGCTTGTAGTCAGTCTGTGAGATCTTCTTGCAGAAGCTTACCAGGTGGTCCACTGTTTCTTCAACTTCTTGGCATAGCCGTTACTTACTGTCTGTTGCTGTCTTCTCAATTTTGTCTTTATATGCATTTGTCCTTAAAGTTTGGTCTTCTGCAGCCAGAATTAGTCCCTCGGTCTCTTTTTTCAATTTTCCTGCTCTTAGCCATTGCCAGGTCTTATTATTATCTGTTTTCCCAGCTATTTTTTTAATATACTGGCCATGTAATGCTTTGTCTTCCTATGCCTCTGTTCTGTTCTTCATTTGGTCTTTCTTGTAGGCCAGTTTGGTCTCTCCAGTAGTCAGTAAGATGCATTAATTTCAGTGCATCTTCATCACTGTCCTTCAGATATTCTTCCAAAGCCATTTTTTCTTCTTCAACCATCTGATGTATTTGCAGCATTCCACGCCCACCTATTTGCCTTGGTAAATAGAGTCTGTTAATGTCACTGCATGGATGAAGGGCATGATTCATTGTCATTATTTTTCTGGTCTTTCTATCCATTGCTTTTAGTTCTGCTTGAGTCCAGTGCACTATTCCAGCTGTGAATAGTGCACAATGACTGGAATTTCCCAGGTGTTGATTGCCTTCATGGTATTTCCTTCATTGAGTTTGGACTTTAAGATCTTCTTCACTCTCTTGATGTATTCACCTCTAATCTTTTTCTTAACTTCAGTGTGCTTGATGTTGTCAGCTTGAAGGATACCCAAGTATTTGTAGTCTCTGTTCTGTTATTTCTGATTCTGGATGTTGTTCTTTCCAGAACTGGTGCATTCGTTTTAGATATCCTCTTCTTGTTGGACTTGATCTGTAATAACAGATCATTATTTCTTTGTTTTCAATCACTGTGTATCTGCGACGGGTAAGCACCTTTTCCTCCAGTAGTTCTGCAGCTACTGGTCCTGGTTGCTCAGCCAACAGTTGTGAGTCCTATAACCCATTTTTCACCAGATACCCAGGAACTCCAACATCTAGCACGGACCTTGTTAACCCGGGCGACATCCGAGCCGGTATAGCTTCCTGAAATTTACATCTCACCATATTTTTTATGGGAGAGACACTCTTTGTCTGACTCCTCTGATGAGACCTGTCCAGCATGGTTGAACCTCTGGCATAGCTCTCATCTTCCTCAGAGTACACAAGCCCCACAACCACGTCAAGGTAGTGCCTCACTGGGGGATGATGATGATGATGATGATGATGATGATTAAGAAATTTAAGAGAGACACTCATGCAGAGACCATGACTTGAACCTGATCTGGAGGAGGTGTTAGCAATAGGAAATGAAATGTATGTTATGCTGGCAGAGATGGATTTGCCCAGGAATACGAAGATCCTTGTGTGCAAGGCCTGGGAGCAGAATGCGGGCAGCTCTGAGATCTGAAGAGACAGGCTTGAGGTTTAGCTCAGTCTGAGGCTCAAACAACAAGGCACAGTACCAGAACTAAGCAGGACTTTGCCTGGATAAATAAGCAATGATAACCAAGTCAGATTCCCAGGTGAATAAGGACTAGGGAGAGATTCTGTAATAAAGATTGCTAGCATTTAGTATTAATAAAACCAATTTAGGATGCAAATTTCTTCTACGCTTATTGCAACAAGTTTTGCCTTTGGAACTAGCATGCTTAGCATGATGTCACTTTTTAATTCACTGAATTAAATTCACTTAAATTAAATTCACTTAAATTCACTGAATTCTCTTTAGAAAATCAGAAAATTTAAAAAAACCTCTGCAGGAATAAATGGTATGATATTATGTGTGAACTTTTCCCTTTTGAAACTGCATCATAATTAAAACCATAGACTGAGAACCAAGTTCCCTAAAGTAGAAGTCTCTCCGAACATCTCCTGGGATATATGAAAGACTTAGTTGGCTGCAGGGAGAATGAAAAGGAGATTGGCTCTAACTTGAGATTTTCAAAATGAATAGACTTTTTTTCTTCCTTCAATTATTACTACATTAGCATTTAGTTATGTTGGTTAAGATAATTAAGGTAGGAAAAATGGACTGAGTCTATTTCTTATTTTCTCTCTCACTTTCTTTCCATTGCTGTGCGTAGTTAATCCTAGAATTACAGTCTATAATGTTTAAGAATTAGATCTATATCTGATCAAAATCAGGTCAATGCTTCTTACTGATCTATAAATCTCTAGCACATATTTTTCTCTCTGATTTGATTTTTAAAAGTTTCAGTTTGTCTCACTAATTTTCAGAATGGAAATTGCTTGTTTCCTGAAGGATGTAGTAGGACAATGAATCTTGCACTGAAAGAATAAATACAAGGTATTTGAATAGAATCACATCGCATGGTTTGAGGGAGTCATGAAAGAAGCAATGAAAAAGAATTCAGCTGGGCAAAGATTCAGAACCTCAAATGGAGCCTTTTTGATTTTTAAAACCCTGTTTTCCTAATTTACTATTGCCAACACCTGCAGGTATGTAATGCTTCATTTCTGAAGAGATAATTATGATGAAGTATATTAAGTTTGTGTGTTGTATGTATGTACGTACAAAAACCAAAACAGCAATAATATAATAGTAATAACTGTATCCCTGCTACATCCAGGAATTCAGAAGGCAGCAAATGACACTCAAGGTGTGTTCCTCTAAGTGCATGAGTGTGCGTGTGTGCATGCACGCATGTGTGTGTGCATTTTTGTGTAGTTAAACTCAAAATTTAATCTTAAGGGTAGCCCTGACAATGTAGATCACTCTTTGCTTGAGTATGAACAAACACATCTGTTTGCCTGATCTTGATCAATCAGTATTTATTTTCCAGATGCTCAACACCTTCTTCTTCCTTTGTTGTTCTTTATCAAAGATACAAAACTAAACCTTGTCATTAATGTTTAATTGTCTCAACATATATTGGATAAAGAGAACATTCTGCCTCCTGCTTTGAATATCAAACAAGGGCCACATGTGTATATTCAGAGCATTTTAGGGTTTTGATTTGGGGCTTGTGCCTATATACAGGTTCTGTCTTGCAGCATATTATGGTAGTATTCAAGAACCTTTTTTTTTCTGCTTATTATTAAGGAAAATATTTTGGAGGGTTTTAAAGACAGAGACGTGCAGGGAGCTGGATCAGGGTGAACTAGATAGGCAAGAGGTCTACAGAGAGTCTCAACCATCCAGGTCATGATTGTTCTAAAGGTGCTTTTTCCAAAAAGCAACAGGACTTTCTTATTTATTTCCTTTGGAAATGTTTCACTTCTCATCCAAGAAGCTTCCTCAGTTCTAACTGAGGAGAAGCAAAACATTTCCAAAGGAAACATTATTTTGTAAAGTCATCATCATCTTAGCCATTTGTCTACCCACTGAAGAGGGATGGAGGAAAATATCTATCAATAGTTATGGATTTCAATGGGTTTATGACAAACATTCTCCCAAATTATTTTCATATCTTTAGATAAAAGCTTGGCAACGAATGAGCAATGAGAGAGGGAAACATAACTTCATGGAGAGAATTTCTTCTGGTTGGTCTTCTGCATCAGTGGTCACCCACCCTGTTCCTTTGGGGGCTTCTCTTCATGTTTCTGATTGCTCTGATGGGAAACAGCCTCCTTATTATTCTGATTAAAACAGACTCTGGACTTCAGACTCCCATGTACTTCTTTCTTAGTCAGTTGGCTTTCATGGACCTCTGCCAAGTTCTCTCCATCGTTCCACAAGTATTGGTCAGCTTTGTAACTAAGAGGTATACAATTTCACTCTATGGGTGTGTTATTCAGATTTCTATAACTTTGCTCTTAGGAGGAGCAGAGTGCCTCATCCTGGCAACCATGTCTTATGACAGATATGTGGCCATCTGCAAACCTTTGCAATATCCCATCCTCATAAGGAGGAGTGTCTGTAACATGATGTCAATGGCAGCCTGGTTTTGGTCTACTGTCCAGGCGCTCACTTGCTCTCTTTATGTCCTGCCCCTTCCCTACTGCAAGTCCAATGTGATTAACCATTACATGTGTGATTATCCAGCTCTTATCCAGCTGTCTTGCTCAGATAATTCTGCTTTTGAAAGAACAACGTATGCTGGAAATTTTCTGGTACTTCTCATCCCCATCTCAGTTATCCTCACCTCCTATGTTGCCATCCTCCTCCAAGTTGTGAGGGTACGATCTTCTGAAAGGAGCCATAAAGCCTTGGGAACTTGCATGTCTCACTTGTGTGTAGTTGGGATATTCTATACAACTTCTCTTGCGACATACATGAAACCTGCATCCTCTTATTCACCTCAGGAAGCCATGATTAATACACTGTTCTTTACTATCATACCTGCCATGACAAATCCCTTCATATATAGCTTGAGGAATCGAGATGTTTTGGATGCTCTGAAGAAAATCTTTGGAAAACCCAATTTGCTTTTAGTGACTTGATAGTACAACACAATAGTGGATATTTTCTTTTTGAAATATCGGCATTTGATCCAGTAAGAGTGAAGATGTTCTTGCTGTTATTATTTTATCCCACTGTACATGTGGGCTCAAGTTAAAGTGGTGAACATACCTAATAAACTTTCCTTCCATTTTTCCCACTATGGCAACCTTCAATACTTAATGACAATAGAAACCTATTCTTGGTTGTCTTATTTGATCAACATAAATATTGAAAACATAAACCAAACAATTGCATTCCTCAGCTAGAGTCTAGAATATTTTGCCCACTGAAACTGGACAGCCATTTGTCCAAAATGGTATAGGGTTTCCTACCTGAGCAGGGGGTTGGACTAGATGACCTCCAAGGTCCCTTCCAACATTATTATTATTATTATTATTATTACTTATGATGTCTTTTGTATGTCTAGAAATATTACTTTTATCTTCACCCTCTGAACTGAAATATAAACAGTATATGATAGTATGATCCTGCACAGCTCTTATAAGGATTATATATGCAAAATGCTTAGAAAGTTTTGAAATGCCTTATGAAATCTAAATATTGTGATTTCTCTTTGCTTAAGAGTCATTTTTACAATAATGTACAGGGATGAGGACTAATCTCAGTGAGGCACTATTCACTTCCGGCTATCAACAGCCCACTCAATATTAACAGATTGTGTTCTGTGTGGTTTACAGTCTTCTAACACACTGGGTATTGTGGTTTCTTATTGAACCTATTAAATTTTATAGATTGCAAATCTAGGTGTAAATGATGCCCAGGTATAGCAATTCCATCCAATTCTTAAGGTCTTACATTTCCAGAAAAGGGTCTCCACTTTCCACCTATACAAGCAGCACATTTCATGTTTGATATTATAAGAAGCAGCTTATTATGGAGAGGAGCAAGTGACTTCCCAGACAGCATCTTGGTATCACTTAAGGTGGGAAATCACCTATTGATTAGAATACTAAAGATTGACCAGATTATATTCTATTCTTCTAGAAGTTCTGGGAGTTGTCCCAGTATCTGGAATGCATCTGGTTGGGAACAATTGGATATACAATACATGTGGAATGAAATAATTGCCATGTCTAATAGCTATGACTACTCTCTGAAGCATGGTTGGTCAAAGATTCTAGTACACTGAGGGTTCCAGTGTCTGCTGTTGTAGAATTTTTAAAGAATAGGTTTCCTTCAATGTCTAGGACACTATAGGAGAAGAAATATCAGAGCCTGGGAGGGTGGAGCCAAAAGAGGAATCAGACTTGAGTCATTATGTTCCCACAAGTGGTCTAAATCCAACCCTTCAGGAATTCTATTAAGCCTTTGGCACTAATTCCATTAGTGGCAAACTAATGTTGACATTAATTGACGAGATTCCTGTGCATAGGCATGAGCAAAAAACCAGTTTAATTGTAATGTGACATGTGGCCCTGATCTTTCCCACCTTACAGACTCATTGCACCAGTTGGTTTATTGATAGTGGTGGAGGCAAAGACAAGCCTAAAGAGGGATGTGATTACAATCCTTCATTACACGTTAGAATATACATTTATTTATTTAGCATATGGCATACAGTGTCAGAGAAATCACATGCTAGACACAATGCAATCATGACAGCCGAAATAGAATATACAGGTGATTGGATATAGCATCTAGATATTTCACTGAATGTAGCACATTGTTGTTATTTATTAGATTTAATGCAGCCATCCACTCTGGTGCTTAGTGAGGTCAGTGAGGCCATTAAGGTGTAACTATGGGATGATGGGCAGGACTACAAAAACAACGTACATTTGAAAGGTAAAGAGATAGGATTCCATGAATATGGTTTCTTTCTGGGGAATTGATTTCTTTTGCTTTCCTAGAGTTCTGCTACCACGATATTCATGTCGGGACCACTGAAGCGTTTCTGGGTTGAAAGGATTGAATGGTAACTGTAATGTATTGAGTTGAATTTATGAAACAGGTTATTGAGAGCTGTGCAGACCACGTGGCCTACCAGCCAAACTTGCTATCTACAAGACCAATTAGTGTGCATTTGAGCGGGAGAATACCGTGCTTCCATTGGCTGACGCCGCCCAAAGCTGAATGTATAAATAGGGGTGGAGCAATGCTTGTTAGTTTCTGTTTTGACCTTCAATAAAGAAGTACTTATTTCTATTGCTGCCTCTTCAATGCTGAACCACGCAGAAAACAGAACAGTAACATCACCACTGCCTGGGAATGCTCAGCATATCCCTGTTAAGTTGTCCACAAAATAGTTAGATGGGTATGGTCACCCGCTTTTGCACTGGTGGGTTGGCAGGAGCTGGAGCATGTGACAGAATCTCACCTCATCCCACAGCATCAACCAAGTCTTGAACACGAACCTTGATCATCAGCCCAGCATCCTAACCATGTGAACCACCACACTCCCTGAGTCCTGGTTCTTTCCCAGGATCTTTTCCAAGCATTCCTTGGCCTTCTAAATCTTTTTATGACTGAGCTGACAAATGTCGTTTGAGACAGTGTTCTTTTGAGGAGATAATTGCCTAATTTGACCAGATATAGCTAATCCAGTCTTTCAGTTCTCTCTGGGAAGATGCATTTGGGTTACGGCCTTTTTGCTTGCCCCCATCTACAAATTTCCTACATTTTGCTTCCCTGAAACCCACATGCCTCTCCTACCTGGATGCTCTGGGAATTTTTCTTAAAGATTCTTTTCCCTTGCAGTCCTTGACTTTATTCATTCTATTTTCAAACTTAATCTTTCTTTTTCTGGATTCTACCACTACCCCAAAATTTGGTCCCATGCTTTTTATAGAGTGGACATGGACCCCTTTTACATAATTTCTTTCCAAAGTCAAATTTAGTCAAAAGGCTCCAGTATGGGGTATGGGGGGGCATGAATGCCTTAGCGTAGCGGGGGAAAGGCTAGTTCTTATTAAATTGAGCAGGATGAATTTTTATGAAAGTATGTTAGAATCTTCCTATTGGAAGAACATGGATGAACAAGACAAATGGAATTCAGGTGTTACTATAAGGATATGTAAGCCCTGGTGGGCTATTCCAGGAGATAGAAAAATATGAAGATGCATTTCCTTCAATTGTCAGGCAAAAGATTTATATGATCTGAAGAGAAACCAGAGCCGTCAACTTGTGCCAATTTTTTGGAGATATCTCTAATAATTTTTGGAACATTATATTTACTCACATACTTATCGGCTTTTCACTCATGTAAACTAGGGAGTTACCCTAACATTCAAAGAACATGTATTTTCTTAACAGAGATGTTAGTATTTACTATTAATGTCAGTACTTTTTTTTAATATATTGTAAAATGTGATGTCTATTGCTGGTCTATGACCATAATAAAGTTGTTGTTGTTGTTGTTGTTGTTATTCAGAAATTCACATGAACTCAAGTTGGGAAGATATTTAAAATATGAGAAGAGGCAATTTTTGAATTGCACCATAATTAAATTCTCAAGACCTATGTCCCTAAAGGAAAAACTAAGTCTATCTTCTTGGAGAGTTTAAATCCTGGCTGTTGAGTTTTCTGTTTGCGTGCGAATGATAAAGACACATGGTGACAACTAATCAATGCTTTATTCTCTTACTCCAACTCCCAGCAAAAAGCAAAAGGCACGCAGGCCTTTTATAGGGCTTGAAACCCAGACAGAATGAACCAATAAGATTTCTTCTTTCTTCATGCCTTGCACATGCGCACAAGGCTAGTGCCGCTCTGTCTGGTCCCAGGCAGCTTTTAGAATGCCCGGGACCATTTGCAACAATTCTGGGCCTTCTGAGTTTCCTCATCAGGCTCAGGACACAAAGTCTGGCTGCTTGCCTTAAGGCCGCAATAAAGTCCACAGCAGATTCACCCAGCCTCTGGTCTCTCTGCTCGAATACGTGCCTCCAAGCAATGACAGATAATTTCGGCTGGAAGTGTTCCTTCAACATTTTCTTTAAGTCAGCATATGTTACTGACTCCAGAGGTGCAGGGGCCACCAGATTCTCTGCGATGTCAAAAGCTTCTTGTCCACAAGCACACAAAAGAGTTGCTGCCTTCAGGCCGACTTCTCTTATCTGATTTACTCTGAAGTAATTTTCAACCCGTGCTACGTATGAAGTCCATCTCTCAGGGTATGAGATATCAAAATCAGATAAGCGGCCAATCTTTGCCACTCGCTCCTCTGCAAACCTCTATTGGTGGAAAGGGTCTTTTAGCTGAGCTCAACCTCCAGCGACGCTATACTGGCAGGCTGGGATGCTGATTCAGATGCTGTCTTCCCCTCTTCAGGACTTCCTGGGTGAGTCCTTAAAACTTTTTTTTCTTCAGCTTGCAAAGGATCCCACCTTCGTCGTCAGTGTTGAGTTTTCCGTTCACGTGCATATGACGAAGACATATGGTGACGACTAATCAATGCTTTATTCTCTTACTCCAACTCCCAGCAAAAAGCAAAAGGCACACAGGCCTTTTATAGGGTTTGAAACCCGGACAGAGTGAATCAATAAGATCTCTTCTTTCTTCGCGCCTTGCACATGCACAGAAGGCTGGCGCCGCTCTGTCTGATTCTGGGCAGCTTTTAGAATGCCTGGGACCATTTGCAACAATTCTGGACCTGCTGAGTTTCCTCATCAGGCCCAGGACACAACACTGGCATGTCTGAGTGATATGAATGCTAGAAATGACGTAGGTGTTAGTTTCAGCAGTGGGAACATGTTTGCATTACAAAAAAAGTTGCAAATTATTTGCTTTGGAATGATAGCTTGATTAGGGGAAATGGTCTGAAGACTTTTCCCTTCATCTCCAGGTCCTCATTTGCACTAATGGTCCCACCAGCTCATAGGTGAAAAAAGATGATGTAATCTCCATCCGGAGAGATTCATGGGAGGCTGAGCTGTTCCTGGATTTTGATACACCCCAGAAGACAAACACAGGATCCAAAAAGATCTTGACAGATTTGAACAATGGGCCCTATCCAACAAAATGAGTTTCAATGTGGAGAAAAGCGAAGTCTTATATTTAGGTGGGAAAAACCAAAGCCACAAATACAATTGGCTGAGACCTGGCTCAAAAACAGTAGCTGTGAGAGGGACCTTGGAGTCATACTGGATGATCACTTGACTATGAGCTAGCAGGGTACAGCAGCAACCAAAAAAGCTAACGAAATCCTGAGTTGTATAAACAAAAGCATAGAATCAAGATCACGAGAAGTACTATTACCACTTTATAAAGCCATAGTAAGAAAAAAAATGAGATTTTTTTTGCTTCTAGTCCTTGACTTTATTCATCCTATTTTCAAACTTAATCTTTTTTTTTTATTCTACCACCATGTCAAATTTGGTTTCAACCTTTGCATATTTTGCACATTAT